CAGGAGGTCTCCTTTGTGGGGCACCCAGGGGGGCTGCCTGCACGAGGCATCCAGCCCTGGACTGTCAATGGAGGGGCCTAGGGACAGTCTGTTTTCTTTCTACAACCAGACACAGCCTCTCTTCTGCAGGGCCAAACAGCCACCGGATACAACCTTTTCCTGTAGACTAATGCTAATTTGCCTCGTCCACACAGGCAAACTCAGGGATCTCATCCTAGACAGAGTGGGCGAACAGAACCCACCCGAGGGGTGGACCACAGCCCTCTCACATCATGGCAAGGTCACCAGAACCTGGTGCATGTCCAGGTCCCAGGCAAACACTCTGACTTTGACCATGGCTGCAACATCGGAAGAGGCAGGTGGGGCATGGGGGTGTGGGTGGGACCCTCATCTTCAGAGCAGATCCGGGAATGGCGTGGGCGTGTCTCTGGCGGTCACTGAGTCCTGCTGGGTGAGGGGGAGAGAGCACTCAAGGCCCTCCTCTGAAATGCTTTGACTCTGTCTTCTGTGCCACTCCGTCCTCCGCAAGAGCAGGACTCCTGCCCTCGGTACACAGCTACCTCACTGGGAACAGTGGATGCCACCTCCACCGATGAACCTCACTGCTCAGGTTCATTCAGAACAGAAAAAGCGACCAACATGCCCTGCACGAGGGGCTTCACACCCGAGGTCGGCAAACTGGCACCAGGAAATCCAGAGAACTCAGAAACATCATGAACCTGCACCCTGGGGAGTGGCCACGGCTTTCATTCGAGTCTCAGAAGCGTCCACGACCTTCCAAAAGCTTTAGGACCACTGTCTAATTTACCCAAATGAAGACTGCCCAGGCTAAAAAAGAACAAATGAGTCAAAAAACAAAACAAAACAAAAGTAGAGGTCTTTCTGATTCAACTGTGTTCTCGATCATCTTGAGATCGTTTTGTAAACAGTCCTATTTACCACCACGTGTATTCGACAGATGAGCAAACGAAAACTCTAAGGAATGAACCAAAGCGAAATGATAGGTTTGTGGGTTAGAACCAAAGAGAAGCAGGTGCCTTGGTAACCATGGCCCCCGTGTCCTCAAGGCCACATCATAAACAAACACCACGGCTCAAGCCACGCGTCGGGCACTCTGCAGACGTGACTAATTTAGACATCATAACAACTCTGTAAGACGTTATCTCATTTTTTGATTTGAGGAAGCCGGGACTTGGAAAAGTCCGCCGGGTTGCCAGAGATCCCGGCGCTGATAAGCATCAGCGATGGGAACCTGACTCCGCGTCTGTCCGACTCCCAACTTCTACACCAGGAGACACTGCGACTTGGATCCCGGGGGAAGGGAAACTCGTCTTCACGCCGGGACGGTTTCTTAGACATCTCTGTACCCCCGCGGTGCTCTGCATGGCACGGCCCTCCATAAATATTTGTGGGATGAGGGAACCTGGGCCCAGGCTCCAGCCCTGCCAGGGACTTGCTGACTCGGTCTCCTGCAGGCTGGAGCCGCAGGTGGTTACTCAGCTGGGCACCTTCAGGGAACATTTGAAATCAATTATGGGTGAGGCGGAACCTATGAAAAGGGTTTCTTCTGTGTATGTTGGGGTTGAAGGAGAGGAAAGGAAGTTGAGGAGGAGGGGGAGGAACAGCATGGTTTCTGGGTTGGGCCCTGGAGCTTCAAGTTTTCACACCAGGACGGGACAGAAGTTGGCTTGTGTCCCCTGCTGAGTTCCAGTGGCCCATCCAGATGGGCTCCTGACCTCAGCCTACTCCTAGGTGGCACACACCCCCATTGCCAGCCCCCCCGAAGCAGCTGCACCCAGCCCTTGCCTAGATAGACCTTGTCACCCTGCTTCCGAGCTGCGGGAGACAGACAACTTCACAGGGTCAGCATGCCGGGCGCCCGACTCTGTCACCCCCCTCTCGGGGGCAGAGGGAGCTCAATGCCTAGTCAGTGGGGCCTGCGTTGTCCTCGGCCCTAAATAACAATCCATTCCGGAGTCCAACTTCCTATTTTGGAAGAATGTGGAGAGGGGAGGGAGGTAACCCTAGTTGATTTGGTTTTCTTTCTTTCTTTTTTTTTTTTTTTCTAATTTCCATTCTGGAATATAAAGCTCTTTTTAATTAAAGTATAGTTGACGTACAATGTTATATTAGTTTCAGGTGTGCAACATTGCCAGTTATTTACCATTCTAGTTGCTACCCGTGCAAAGGTAGTCACAACCCCCAAAATGCTACCTTAGCCCCTTCGCAGAGGCCCTGCAAAAAGGGCTCGCACGAAGCTGACCCTCCCAGCAACACTCTGGGAGGGGCGATTAAATACAGCCCAGAGGCCAGGGCAGGGACAGCCCTCCGGGAAACCAGACATTCTCCACTAGTGGCTTCCAAGGGCCTCCTCTCCTGTGCACGAGGTAACACTGCCACCTAGTGCCCTGTGCAGGAAGTAGTCCCCAAGGCCCCACAGTTCAGGGGTCCCTCTACAGGGGCTGCTGTGGCTGACTTGCTTGAATCTCTGATGAAGAGAAAATGGCCCAAGGCGGGTAGATTGAGAACCAGGAAACTAACCCTAAGTGAGGGACGTGGAAGTCGAGGTTTGAGAGCTGGTGGAAGAGTGTGGTAGCCGAGTCCTGTAGCACCTGAGCAGCAGACAGGCGACGGTGGGATCGGCTCTCGCTCCCAGGAATGGACCCGTAGTTGCCATTCTGCACCGGTGGAGGCCAGTCCGTCCAGGGACGGCAGTGAGTGGCTGCCAACGCGCCAAGGCTGCTGTGGGAGGGGGAGGGGCAGCCGCTCTGCCGGTGGGAGCAAATGAGCTCTATTCCTAGGGACCACCTTTGACCGGCTAGTCGTCCACCACGGGCACCCAGTGAAGCGTAAGAAGCCAAGCGCGATGAGGGGACAGGGATGCCTATGCCCTCAGGAGCCTGTTCCCAGCCCCCATCGATCCAAGGCTTTTACCCTAAAGCTTTCCTGAATACTTTCTGATGTGCGCAAGCCTGAGGGAACATAGAGGGTGGAAGTCAGAGAGGAGACAGACCTGGGTACCCCCACCCCTCGACCTGCCCGGTGTGGATTTGAGGGGAAATACCAGTACACCACAGGGGACATTTTGATTTGGAGAGAACGAAACCCCAGAAGCTAGACTGTCTGCAAAAGATTTCCTGCCTAATTTTACATGCTCGGGGAGGTTAAGAGAGTTCAGATGGCACATTGGAGAAGGATCTGAGTGTGTGTGCTGTGGCAAGGTGGGGGGCCCTTGGTGGTGATGGACAGGTGGAGAGGGAGGGAGGTGGACGGGGGTGGGGGCAAGGAATGCTGTGACTGGAATCAGATCGTGACAAGGCTCTGCTCCTGCGGATCACGAGACAGAAGGACGCAGGAGTCAGGACGGGTCAGGTACCCACTGTCCAAAGTGTCTCCAGTTTGGGGTATGAACAGTTCGGAGCAACAGCCTCCACGGGCCTCCCTCACGCATTCGCTGGATCCTTCTCTAACCCTCGCAGCCTGGGAACGGGGCCCGGGTCCCCTTGTTGCTACCGCGAGAGCAGGAGGAAGCAGTCGCGGGTCTCGGTCGACACGGCTCGGTTTCCCTGGCAGATGGGCACCGGGAAGCCAGATCAGGCAGCACAAATGTCATCTGGGAAGAACGGCGACAGTGCCAGCTCTGGCCAGATAATCATCTCATTATTTCTTCCATTTGGCCCCGGAATAAGGATTTCCTTCGACTCTCTTGCTACCCCCACCTACCTTGCTGCCCGGCCCCTTCTGTCTCCCCTCCTCTGTGCCCTTCTCCCACCTCAACGTAAAATGAAGCGAGACCGCAAAACTCGAGAGTACTCAGTGTCTGGGAATCCCGGCTTCCAGAGGAGAAATCACAGCCAAAGAGGGGGAGACAGTGTGTCCGGCAGGGATGTTCCAGCAACACCCCATTGAAAGAGGCTCCCTCCTTCCAGATTTCTTCCTCTCGTCTGAAACTTATTTGCAGCATCCAGCAACCTGAGAAGTTTTTCATCTGGACAGCTGTCAAGCACTCCGGGGCCGCGCAGCTCAGTTCCCAGTCTGCCTCTGGCAGGCCGTGCGTGGCTTTGGTCTCCCATCCATGTAATGGAAGTGGAAACATCCACGGGGCTTGTGGATGATCCAAAGTAATAAGATTAAAGTGGTTCTCCGTGCGCCCAGCCTTCGTGGGGCTCTGTCTCGGGGGATGCAAAGGGGTGACACCGAATGATAAAGGAGCAGGTCGCATCCCAACCCCTGGCTTGGAACTAGCGCCCGCCCCCCCCATAAGGCAAGGGAGATGGTTCTCACAAACTCCACTCTTTTCCCCGTCCTTCTGGGTAACTTTCTATGAAAACCAAGATCTGGGTATAGTGGAAATAAACGTGGGTGATGTTCCCAGATGTTGCCTCTGACGGAACCATGGAGTTATACGAGGTGTTGTTTTAGGTCCCTCTGACAATAGCCAGGGCTAGAAACCAGGTGACCGTGATGTCCCCAGGCTCACACGGGCTTGTTAGGGACCCCAGGACCCGGACCAGGTAGTAGCTATCTGCCAAGTTCCAGGCCGGCTCAGACAAAAGGGAACCAGTCAAGACCATCGTCTGTGCCCCTGCCCAACCTGCTCCCTGGCTAGGGCTCCCTGCCCCGGTCCCTGCATTCTCTGGAGCTTCCAAGTTGTCCGGGTATCTCATACTGACTATGAGAAGTGGAGGGTGACACCTCGTCCCCAGCGACCAAGAACCAGAGGTCTTCCCTTTAAAGAGGAGGAGGAGAGTGGGCTGGGGGTCTCCCACGTGCCAGCACGGTGGACAGAACCACAGGTCAATACCAGGGACAGAGGCTCCTGGGGTCACAGTCATCACTGCAGATGAGTTGAGTCCCGCTGTGCTGGTGGAGAAAGGCTCTGCCCTCTTCCTGGCCCCTCTCTGGGTCTCCCTGCCCATCCCCTTCCCCTCCACGCCCCTGGCTCTGACCCGCACAGGAAGCCAGCCGTGCCCCGGGAGCACGGAGGCCCAGCGCGTTACCTGCAATGATGGCGAGGCTGCTCTGCCCCCCCTCCGGCTTCACCCAGGCCTCCACTGTGAACGCCTCCCGGGGAACCTCAGCCAGCACTTCCGGGCGCAGCAGCAGCCTCTCCCGCCTCCCTGAGAAGTACACGATGGGCAGTGCTCCGCCGTGGGGGTTCGAGGTCTCTGCTTCCCCGTGGGGGTTCCCTTTGCCGTTCTGGGCGCTGTCCTCCGAAGGACTGGTTCCGGCCCCGGGCGTACGGGGACGCTTAGGCCAAGGTTGGAAGTGCCGAGGAGAGACATGGAGGTCTTCCCGCCTGCCCTCTGCCTGCCCCTTCACCACCTGCCGGCGGCGCCTGGTCTTGGCCGGCACCTTCCTCTGGGTCTCTGGTTTGGGTTCCTCCCTGCGTGCAGAGATGGTGGCTGGGCGTTCCAGAGTCCCAGCCTCGCCGAGGGACTCCTGGGACCCTTGATCGTGGAGATGAGCATCATCATCTCTCGGCAGCTCCAGCTGCCCAGTAGGACCATCCGCTCCCCTCGGGGCGGCCAGCTGCTGGGCCCCAGTCCTCACTGCCGCCCTTGCTGTCGGGTCTGGGGCAACACCGCTCGCCGCCATTCCCTCGGCGGCTGGCTCACTGCGTCCTGCGTGCTGTGCGCCCTGGTCTCCCACAGGGTAGGGCCTCGGGGAGCTGCCAGCCCTGCTGGGGTAGACCCCAAAGAGGTGATGCTGGGGGAAAGCTCTGGGTCTTCGGACCTTGGTCCCCAGCCAGCAGCGTTCTCCTTCCGGCAGCACCTCGTCCAGGTGTCCCCTCTGAGCCAGGGATCTCTTGAGTGTCCAGCCCGGCTCAGAGCCGGCTGTGCTGAGCACCCACCCGGCCAGAATCACCAGGCTTATTCTCAGGATCTCTGACCACATCATCCTTCCCTCTCTGCGCACAGGTCCCGAGGTCAACTTCTGGGTACCACAGCAGAAGGATGGGGGAAGAGAAAGAGACGGCCAGCTGTGGATTCGCAGTCACCAGGGAAACTGTTGTGTTCACAGACCAAAGTTTTTCAAGCAGCCCCAGAAGAGAGCCTCTCCTGGCTACCTGCTCGGGGGCCCTGCCAGCCCGGCCTCCGTGCCTCCCGGGGTGCGCGTCCCTCACCGCTCCCTGCTCTCGTCCAGGATGAAGTTCATTTCTCCGGGTTCCTTTGAATTTCCTCCAGAGAGCTCAGGTTTCTTTTTTCCCCCCTTTTCAATAGCCCCTCCCCTCCTGATTCTAGAGGAGGGACACGTGGACAGAAGCCAAAGCCTCTCAGACACTCGCCCTCACAAACAGTCCTCGCTACCTGGAGTCACCGAAAAGACCCTTCTGCCCTCTTTCCCGTGCTGCTCCTCCCGGGCGTCGCGTCTCCTCCACCTGAAGCACCTGCACCTTCAGACCCAGGACCAGGAGGACTTGTCTGCAGGCACACAGAACCGGATGTGTGTCATCTGCAAGGGCAGAGGGAATCTGGGTGCACAGAGATCCGGGCTGGCCCTTCGCGTGCACTCTCCCCACGAGCCCTCAGCCAGAGCCGTCCAACCTCCCGTCAGCCTCGCCGGCAGGACACACTGCCTTCAGCTCCCGCCTTGGGGCGGCTCAGGGCTGAAGGTTCTTCTTCATCTTCTTCTTCTTCTTCTTGTTTTTAATCCCCTTCCCACTTGTTAGGATGTTGCAAGTCTCTGTAAAGTTCTCCTTTGGGGTGCCGGTCCAATGTCCTAATAACCTTGTGAGTCCGAGAGCCCGGGACTTGACCTTCTGGGGGTCCTGCGGGTCCCTGGGAAGATGGACAAGAGGGTTAGAAGAGGATGCACATCAGGGGACCTGTTCGCTCTGGTCCCTCCTGCTCCCTGCTCCCTGCCTCTCTGCAGCGATCCTCTGGCTTGTTCACTTAAAGACAATGATGATGTCAAAGCTAGTGAGTTCGGTGCATCACCCCACCCACTCCCCGTCCCCTCCTTCCTCCTGAAGACCTCCCCGCCTCACGGAGGCCAGGGACAGACACTGCTCTCGGTTTCCCCAGGAAGCATCTTGGGCTCTCTCGGCAGCACAGCCTACACAATCAATAGCGACAATCAATACGGCGCTGGCCCTCTCCGCTGTGTGTACACACACGCGCACGCACACGCGCACACACGCTCGCCTGATAAACCCACCCCAGCCGTGTAGGGGCCACTTTCATCTCTTGGTTTGCACAAATCTCCCGTGTTATTTTCTTATTTCGGTCACTGGGGATTCAAAACAAAACCCCCCAGTTCGCTCTCCACCGCACCTCGGGGGAAAGGAGGAACCGACGGTCCCGCCGTGAGGAGCACGAGGCGGACGCGCCAGGAGGCCGTCTGCGCCATCCGTGTCCGTGTTATTCTCTCTGAGGTCTCTCGCTCTGAAGTCACTGAAAGTCACCGTATGCTGAGTGAGCAAATCAGCAAACGAGACTCTCAAAAATAAGTAATTTGCAGAAATGAACAGCTACATCCAAGGAAGTATTTTCTTCAATTGATTTGAAATGAATGGATAGGACAGGAAAATAAATAATATGACTGTAACCCCCACAAGAATGTTTGCCTGGACACAGGCTCCCTGGAAGAGTCCTACCCCCTAAACGCCTGTGTTTACACACACACACACACACACACACACACACAGAGCACGGTTCTGAATTCTCAACAGAGGTAAGGGTGTTTGACCTCAGGTGGGCACAGCATAAGTAGAGAAAGATATTGGGTCCTTCGACCAACAGTCAGAGAAATCACTTCCACGCCTAAAACCACCGTTTGCGTTGCTGCAGAGAAAACCCACGGCCCACGTGGTGCGGGGTGGGAGCGTCCTGTCTCTTCTGCCTTGGGTCTCCTCATGATCTTCTAAACTCCCCTACCCCAGCTCATCACTGACTGCTTTGCTCTAAGAAAGCTGCACCCCAAAAACCCGTCGGGGGCATGTCCTGTTTTTCTGGGGCTGCATCCACTGGATCCTCAAAGCCAGTCGTCCCCTAAGAAGCTAGCAGTTCAGACACGTGGACATTACTGAACAAGCTGCTGGGTCCTGGGCTGTCCCTACTCCTCTTATCACATCCGCACCTCCCTTCACTCTCCTGACTCAGTCTTACTTCTCTATATTTTTCCTGAAGCAGCTCAATAAAGATTGGGGCTGGGGGGGGGGGGTGAGGGGACGTAGAGGCGCAGAAAGGCAGAGGAGAGAGAGAGGGAGGCGCAGGAGAAGAAGGTGAGGAGCCTTCGTTTAAATGAAGAGAAGATACTCAGGTAAGAAAAGGAGTACACTTCCCTCCTTCGTGCCACCCCCAGGACCCTCAGAAAAAGGTTTCCTACCATTCATGTCAGGAAGGAGGTAACACAGCAAGGAAGAAGAACTGCACGTGCTCCGCTGCCCTGTCACTGTGGGAACGATCGTGCCTCCCCTATAGGTCTCCTGGCTCCCAGCTGCTAGTAGTCCATTCATAAGCCCTCAAGAAGCTACACAAAACTCAAGCTTCCAGTTTAGTTTCTCTCTCTCCCCTTCATTCCTTTGCTCACCACTCTCCTTCAGCTCTTGGCAGTCCAAAGTTTAAAAAAAAAAAAAAATGTTGAACCATTTCTGTGTTTTCCTCCTGTTGTAACTTTTGCTGTGACATCATAACCCTGCCCACCAGCACCCCACCTCTCCCTCTCCTTCCATCCCACCCCTCATCAGTCCCATACCCCCAAGATACCCCCCACGGAGAAACAGGGCTCCTGTCCGTCCCAACGTGTGAAAACACAAAGCCACTAGAAGGTGCCCCTCTCTCTCTTCAGTCCCCCTCCTCTCGCCCCCTCCCTGCCTTACCCACCGCTCAGCCACGGCTCTCAGAAGGCTTTGAACATGATCCCATCTGTTTGACATGTGCGGAAAGGTGGGCTGGACTCAGATAATCTGTCAAGTGGATCAGATCAAAAAACACAGCACCCCCCCTCCCCGATTCCATCACACACACACACACACACACACACACACACACACCCCAGACCCCAGCGAAAGTGTAAGAGAAGCCAGACTCACACAGCACCCACCCTGGATGCCAGGGAGAAAGACACCACATGCCAGAGGAAATGCACATTCAACACATATATTGATTCTGGGGCTTATTTGTTTATGGCAAACACCCGCACCCCAGTCCCCTGCTCCTCTCCCTAAGTCCTGCCACTCCGCAAGTGCACAGATGTGAAAGCTGGTAGGATCTGCTGTGGAGTCTCCAACGAGAGGGTGTCCCCCCTTTCTCTCTCCCAAGCGCTATCTGTGGCGATCAGACTGGAGCAGGGCTGCCAGCGAGCGCGGGAGGCCCCTCTAGGGTACAGCTTTCGGACCAGCGAAGCTGGAGGGAATGCATTTAAGGGCACACGGCAGGAGCTGGCTGCATTGATTTCACTTTGACGGGGTAGTTGGGGGAGGAATATCATTTCTGAAATGCCCAAGCAGTGGAGGGAGAGGATGTGGATCTCTTAAACAGTGTTTGCAAGAGGAGCCGTGTCTTGTCCTGCAGGTAAATCTACAAGGCGAGAAACTGGAGCTTAGGGGTAAACAAGGAGGAGAGGGAGGGAGGGAGGGAAGGAGGAAGAGAGAGGGGAAGGGAGAGGGGATGGGGAGATGGGGACATGGAGAGAGGGAAGAGGGGAGGACAGAAAGGGGGTGAGGGGGAAAGAGGGTGAAGGGAGGGAGGAAAGAAGGAGAAAGGGGGGAGGGGGGAGGGGGAAGAAGAAAAGAGTGAGATGGGTGGGGGAGGGGAGGGACAAAGGGAGAAGAGAAAAGTCTGGGAGGAGAAGGGACTGGAAAAGCAAAGCAGGGAAGAGAGGAGGGAAGCACAAGGCGGAGAGAAGAAAAACAGAGGAGAAGATAGGGAGGCACAAAAATATGGAGACCAGGGAGGCAGTTTAGACCCATGATGCTTAAACGTGAAGAAACCACCCAGGCAGGTGAGGGGAGACACTGGCAGATGGGCAGAGGTCAGGTTTTATAACAAAGGACACGCACTGGAGGGACGCGCTGCTACCGACTGCACACGTTGTTAGAAATCAGATCGCCAGGGTTCTGCCTTGTCTCTTTAAGTGAACCCCTGTCCCCTCTCCCTTTCCTGCCTCTTTCTCTTCTTCCTCCAACACCAACCTCAGCTGCCTCCATTCACCTTTTTGTTCCCAGCACTATCTTCCCCTGAAAAATTCACAGTAGAATTTAGATGCCCCCCTTCCCTCCTCCATAAAAAAAAAAAAATCATAATAGCTCCTTTCTTTGCTTCTACCCATGGAGGGTCCTGGGTCCTCTGATCTGAAGCTTGAGCTGTTTGGGATAATCTGTACTTCATTTCGACTCAAGTTATACTATGTTTCCTCTAAGCGAGGAAACGAGAGCTCAGAGCTCTCTGCCTGGACTCGCTGCCATGGGGGGCTGGTCAGCTTCCATCGGCTGCGACCATGCTCCTCAGTCGTCAAACAAAGGGAGGAGCCAGCCCAGTTGGCATTCACCTGCAGGGTACAGAGCATTCCTCAGGGGTGGTGGGGGGCAGACAGAGTCGGGTGAGAGGAGAGAGACCCCTGGAAGCAGTCACGGGTCCTCTCTGACTTTCTGATTCCAAAATCAGATCCCTCGAGGGTAAAGCTCAGCTGGGAGCCGGCCAGGCAGCATAGTCATAAAAGCCTCCCAGAACGCAACCCAACACAGTATCTATATATAGGAGCTGAATCTGTTTTAGCTACTTGTAGTCTAAAATGACACCCGGAAGCAAACATCTCAGCGATCTGTTTATTGGGATCGCATTCAGCTGGTGCTGGAAAGGGAGACCTTCTCGGAAGGCTTTTGCTCCACCGCTCAGTGTTGCTGTTTTCTGCCCCCACCCCACCACCCTCTCCCGCCTCCAGCGGCCAGAGCTGGG